CTCAATAATTTGAGAGGAAAGAAACGATAGATTGGTCGATGATAGTTCGTATATGTACAATTGATTATTTTGCTAGATTGAATATTGTATGAAGAAACACGAATCAGTGTTTCATTTTCGCTTTGATGATTTGAGAGGAAAGATAGATTGCTCGACGATAGTTCGTATATGTAGAATTAGCAGATAAACGATTACTTTGCTCTAAAAATCGGCGAACACGATGGACGATGATGGATGGTATGAAAAAACGAACATGAGTCAGAGTTTGAGCTGTGTTCACTTATAAACTGTTTATAATCAATGAATCATCCCGATATTTCAATCAGGGCACAACAGTCGGTCGACAATTATTCTTATCTGATCATCCGAATATTTTTTGGCAAAAAAAAAAAGAAATGCAAATCTGAAATAACAATATTTCCAGCCCGAAAGCGGTGGAAGTAGAAATATTCTTCTGGGAAGAAAAAGAAAAAGAAGAAGTCGAAGAAAGACCACGTGTCGATTTCTTTCTTTTTTTTTTTTTTCAGATCGAATCGCAAGGTTAGAATCGCGAACGAGGAAGCGAGAATCCAGGGTTAATAACGTCGAATATGGTGATTCCTGAACGGTGGATCGGCGGTGGATCGTTAATGGAAGAAGGCCCGTCGTGATTTCAATCAGCCTGACCTCCGATTTCCAACTTCCCTGTACGTGATTCGGTCGTCACGGCTTCGTGACTCCAGCGAATCGGTAAATATCTGAACAACTTCGGGCCCAACTCCCCGACTAACAACTCTCCAAACATCTCCAACACTTTGTCACGTCGATAACGAGAATTCGTTCTTTTCCTTCTTTCAGATTTATCCGCGCCTTCCACACTCATCTTCGCACGTTTCGAAGAATGTGCACAACTCGGAAAAGGGAAACGCGTTTGCTGAAGAACATGCTTTAATATCTCCTTATCAAACAAGTAAGTGTACGTGAATTGGAAAAAAAAAACCTAGTCGGATATGATTTCTAACGACTCAGAAAAGTACTTAAAGAAAAGAAAAGAAAAGAAAAATTAGATTAGGATTAGAATTTTGAAAAAAAACGTAGTCGAATATGATTTCTAAGGACTGAGAAAAGTACTTAAAGAAAAGAAAAGAAAACTTAGAATTTTGAAAAAAAAACCTAGTCGAATATGATTTCTAACGACTGAAAAAAAAGTACTTAAAGAAAAGAAAAGAAAAGAAAAATTCGCTGCAAATTAACACAAGCTCGCCGAAAAACGAATCACCTGGAGAGAGGCGATTTTTCGATCCATCTCGTTTGATCCCGCAGATTGAGCCCGTTTCGATCGAAGGGACGACAGCGGGGGAGGAGGAGAGGAAGAGGAGTGATTTAACGAGGTGGCTGGCATGCCAGCGCGACCTCCGGGCTCGGCTTCCCGGTACGTGAGTCAGGATCGCAGGAATCGGGCGCGAGGATGAGCGCAAAGATATCCCTGGCGAGCCGCGGCACGGCACAGTCGCCGGTCAACCATCGTGGCAAATCATCGTCGGGGCTGCTGCTCGCCGGGAAGTCTGTGAAGAGGCCTTCGTCGATGAGTAAGTCAGCCGTACTCGATGCTCTCCACGTGGTGTGTGCCGTTGAGCAATGGGAGAGAGAGAGAGAGAGAGAGAGAGAGAGAAGTAATTAATTAAGTTAAAATTGGTATTTTACGAACGAAA